GTGGGGGTTGAAACCCCGGTGCAGGCCCATGTTGTGGAGGGACTGAGTGTTGACCAGGGGCAGGCCCCCTGTTTGGAGGTACGTTTGTGTTGCCCGGTGAGGCCCCATGTTTTGGGGGTACTGTAAGTGTTGACCAGGTGCAGGCCCCCCTGTTTGGAGGGAAGTAAATGTTGACCAGGTGCAGGCCCAAAGTTGTGGGGGTACGTAAGGTTGACCAGGTGTAGGTTCCCTATTGTGGAAGGATTGTAAAATGTTGACCAGGTGTAGGTTCCATATTGTGGGAAAGGGTTTAAGTGTTGACCGGTTGGTTCCAATTGGGGGAAGATTGAAAAGTTGACCAGGTTTAGGTTCCCAAATTGGGAAAATTTTTTAAATGTTGACCAGGGTAGGTTCCATATTGGGAAGTATTGTAGTGTTGGCCAGGTGTAGGTTCCATATTGTGGAAGGATTGTAAGTGTTGACCAGGTGTAGGTTCCATATTGGGGAAGTATTGTAAGTGTTGACCAGGTGTAGGTTCCATATTGTGGAAGGATTTTAAGTGTTGACCAGGTGTAGGCTCCATATTGTGGAGGTATTGTAAGTGTTGACCAGGAGTAGGCTCCATATTGTGGAAGGATTGTAAGTGTTGACCAGGGTGTAGGCTCCTGTTGTGGAGGTAATTTAATGTTGACCAGGTGTAGGCTCCATGTTGTGGAAGTATTGTAAATGTTGACCAGGTGTAGGCTATATGTTGTGGAGGTACTGTAAGTGTTGACCAGGTGTAGGCTTCATATTGTGCAGTACAGTAAGTGTTGACCAGGTGTAGGCTCCATATTGTGGAAGTATTGTAAATGTTGACCAGGTGTAGGCTATATGTTGTGGAGGTACTGTAAGTGTTGACCAGGTGTAGGCTTCATATTGTGCAGGTACAGTAAGTGTTGACCAGGTGTAGGCTCCATGTTGTGGAGGTACTGTAAGTGTTGACCAGGTGTAGGCTCCATATTGTGGAGGTACTGTAAGTGTTGACCAGGAGTAGGCTCCATATTGTGGAGGTACTGTAAGTGTTGACCAGGTGTAAGCTCCATGTTGTGGAGGATTGTAAGTGTTCACCTGGAGTAAGTTCCATGGTGTGGAGGTATTGTAGGGGGTTGACCAGGTGTAGGCTCCATATCGTGGAGGTATTGTAAGTGTTGACCCCGGTGTAGGCTCCATGCTGTGGAGGTATTGTAACTGTTGACAAGGCGTAGACTCAATGTTGAGGGGGTATTGTAAGTGTTGACCAGGTGTAGGCGCCATGTTGTGGAGGTATTGTAAGTGTTGACCAAGTGTCGGCTCAATGTTGTGGAGATATTGTAAGCGTTGACCAGGTGTAGGCTCCATATTGTGGAGGTATTGTAATTGTTGACCAGATGAAAGGGTCCATATTGTGGAGGTATTGTAAGTGTTGACCAGGTGTAGGCTCATGTTGTGGAAGTATTGTAAGTGTTGACCAGGTGTAGGCTCCATGTTGTGGAAGTATTGTAAGTTTTGACCAGGTGTAGGCTCCATGTTGTGGAAGTATTTTTAAGTGTTGACCAGGTGTAGGCTCCATGTTGTGGAAGTATTGTAAGTGTTGACCAGGTGTAGGCTCCATGTTGTGGCGGTCTTCTTTTTCACTTTCGAGTATCTAAAGATATGAATCTTGGACTCTATACTTCTCCTCGTCTTCGTCTTCTCCGTCTATTCTTTTTATTATTAATATTATTCAGAATTCTTTGCTGTCTGTCTAGAGTTATCTTCTAATGCTTCCGCTGAGCCTATGTCACATGTTTTTTCCATCTCTCATGTGGGTCTGTAACAGATGGGTCACAACCTTGCACTTTTTTGCGGGGGGTATAACCTCCGGTAGCCACTTGTCAGAGGTGCCGTGATCAGCGTACAGCCTCACAAGGAGGTGCTGTGATCAGAGCACAGCCTCACAAGGTGCTGTGACAGAACACAGCCTCACAAGGTGCTGTGATCAGAGCACAGCCTCAAAAGGTGCTGTGATCAGAACACAGCCCCCAAAAGGGTGCTGTGATCAGAGCGAGCCTCACAAGGAGGTGCTGTTTTTCGGAGCACAGCCTCGCAAGGGGGTTTGCTGTTTTCAGAGCACAGCCTCACAAGAAGGTGTTTGTTCAGATCACAGCCTCACAAGGAGGTGCTGTGTTCAGAGCACAGCCTCACAGGGGGGTGCTGTGTTCAGAGCACAGCCTCACAAGGAGGTGCTGGTTCAGAGCACAGCCTCACAAGGAGGTGCTGTTTTCAGAGCACAGCCTAACAAGAAGGTGTTGTGTTCAGAGCACAGCCTCAAAAGGAGATGCTGTGTTCAGCGCACAGCCTCACAAAGGAGGTGCTGTGTTCAGAGCACAGCCTCACAAGGAGGTGCTGTGTTCGGAGCACAGCCTCAAAAGGAGGTGATGTTTTCAGAGCACAGCCTCACAAGAAGGTGTTGTTTTCAGATCACAGCCTCACAAGGAGGTGCTGTGTTCAGAGCACAGCCACAAGGAGGTGCTGTGTTCAGAGCACAGCCTCACAAGGAGGTGCTGTGTTCGGAGCATAGCCTCACAAGGAGGTGCTGTGTTCAGAGCACAGCCTAACAAGAAGGTGTTGTGTTCAGAGCACAGCCTCACAAGGAGGTGCTGTGTTCAGCGCACAGCCTCACAAGGGGGTGCTGTGTTCAGAGCACAGCCTCACAAGGAGGTGCTGTGTTCAGAGCACGGCCCTCACAAGGAGGTGCTGTGTTCAGAGCACAGCCTCAAAGGAGGTGCTGTGTTGGGAGCACAGTCTCACAAGGAGGTGCTGTTTTCAGAGCACAGCCTCACAAGGAGGTGCTGTGTTCAGAACACAGCCTCACAAGGAAGTGCTGTGTTCAGAGCACAGCCTCACAAGGAGGTGCTGTTTTCAGCGCACAGCCTCACAAGGAGGTGCTGTGTTCAGAGCACAGCCTCACAAGGAGATGCTGTGTCAGCGCACAGCCTCACAAGGAGGTGCTGTGTTCAGAGCACAGCCTCAAAAGAAGGTGCTGTTTTTCAGAGAACAGCCTCACAAGGAAGTGCTGTGTTCAGAGCACAGCCTCACAAGAAGGTGCTGTGTTCAGAGCACAGCCTCACAAGAAGGTGCTGTGTTCAGAGCACAGCCTACAAGAAGGTGCTGTGATCAGAGCACAGCTTCACAAGAAGGTGCTGTGTTCAGAGCACAGCCTCACAAGGAGGTGCTGTGTTCAGAGCACAGCCTCACAAGGAGGTGCTGTGTTCAGAGCACAGCCTCACAGGAGGTGCTGTGTTCAGAGCACAGCCTCACAAGAAGGTGCTGTGTTCAGAGCACAGCCTCACAAGAAGGTGCTGTGTTCAGAGCACAGCCTCAAAAGAAGGTGCTTTGTTCAGGGGCACAGCCTCACAAGGAAGTGCCGTGTTCAGAGCACAGCCTCACAAGGAGGTGCTGTGTTCAGAGCACAGCCTCACAAGGAGAGCACTTCCAGGATAATAACTTCAGCTAGCTGATCAGGTGAGACCCATAACATTTTTTCCTTGGCAGTCCAGGAACTTGTGGATGTACCTCGTAGAGTGTGTGCCAGTACTGGTCCTTGAGGGACCCCTCTCGTCATCCGGGCCCAGCCTTATACATCTCCTCCTTATGTTTCTTGTTTTCTGTAATTTACATTCTTACATTCTTCCTCACTCACTGAAAGTTATGTCTTCGTCACCATATTTGATGACCATATATAATATATATATATATATATATATATATATATATATATATATATATATATATATATAAAATATATATATATTATATATATATTATATATAATTTTTTATATGTCGTCCATATAGGTTAAAACTTGCAATGTTCTTCTTGCTCAAAAAGAGAAACGAAAATTTGTGTATGCAATAATTTCGCAAAAAAATCATTCTGAAATATCGAAAAAACATATTTCATTGTGTTTTTTTATTATTAAATTATTGTAAACTTATCTAAAATATATTTAAGCTGGATTAGGCTAAATTAAAATTGTTCTTGTTATAATAGGTTAGGTAAGTTTTCTAAGGTTCTTTTGGTAGAAAATTATTAATTTTTAATTAAACATAAAATGGAAAAAAAAATATCTTTAAACGTATAAGCTTTTTTTTTATAAAGGACTTAATTTTAAATGAGTTCTTGTTTAAATTTATTAATTTTACCTATTCCGCACCATTTTATATAAATATATATATATTAAATATATATATATATATATATATATATATATATATATATTATATATATTACAATATTTATATATTGACTTATTGCCTACTATTCTTCATCTGCCTCTCTCCTTCCTCTCCCTAACTTTCTCCCTTCAATCTTTATTTCCTTCCAACTTCTTCCTTTCCCTCCCATGTTCCCCCACTTGTTCCCTTCCGTATTCCCTCCCCTCCTCCTACCCTTCTCTGCACCTAACTCCTCCCTCCCTCCAACCCTCCTCCCTCCCTCCCTCCCTCCCTCCCTCCCTCCCTCCCTCCAACCCTCCCCCACACACCAACAAAATTCATATAGATGTGTTTGTTGTGTTTGTACGTGGATAAAAACACAATAGTATGTAAACGACTCTGACAGCAGCGCATATTAACTAGCTGGGGAGGGAGGGAGGGAAGAGTGGAGGGAGGAAGAGTGGTGGGGAAAGGGGGAAGAGTGGTGGGAGGGAGGGAAGAGTGGAGGGAGGGAAGAGTGGTGGGGGAAGAGTGGTGGGAGGGAGGAAGGGAGGGAAAGAGTGGGGGGGGGAGGAAGGGAGGGAAGAGTGCAGGGAGGAGGGAGGGAGGGAAGGGGACTGACGACCCAAATAATAGGTAAAAATAGGGTTTGGGTGAGGGGACAGGGAGGTGAGGGGAGGGGAAAATGAGGGGACAGGGAAAGTGAGGGGACAAGGAGAGTGAGATAACAAGAGTTGAGGGGGACAGGGGGAGTGAAGGGACAAGGAGAGTGAGTGGACAGGGAGAGTGAGGGGACAGGAGAGTGAGGGGACAGGGAGAGTGAGGGAACAGGGAGAGTGAGGGGACAAGGAGAGTGAGGGGACAAGGAGAGTGAGGGAACAGGGAGAGTGAAGGGACAGTTAGAGTGAGGGGACAGGGAGAGTGAGAGGACAAGGAGAATGAGGGGACAAGGAGAGTGAGGGGACAAGGAGAGTGAGGGGAGAAGGAGAGTGAGGGGACAGGGAGAGCAAAGGGGCAAGGAGAGTGAGGACACAGGGAGAGTGAGGGGTCAAGGGAGTGAGGGGACAAGGAGAGTGAGGGGACAGGGAGAGTGAGGGGAACAGGGAGAGTGGGAGACAGGGAGAGTGAGGGGACAGAGAGAGTGAGTGGACAGGGAGATTGAGGGGACAAGGAGAGTGAAGGGGACAGGGAGAGTGAGAGGACAGGAGAGTGACGGGACAGGGAGAGTGAGGGGACAGTGAGAGTGAGGAGACAGGGAGAGTGAGGGGACAGAGAGGTGAGGGGACAGGGGGAGATGAGGAGACAGGGAGAGTGAAGGGACAGGAGAGTGAGGGACAGGGAGAGCGAGAGGACAGGGAGAGTGAGGGGGAAGGGAGAAGTGAGGGGACAGGGAGAGTGAGGGGGAAGGGAGAGTGAGGGATAGGGAGAGTGAGGGAGACTCAGGACTTGTGATGCTCAAATGGTCAATGTTAATGTGGATTATGTGTGTACACTGTACGTGGGGCAGTCCAAAG